ATATATATATATATATAATTCAATTAGTTTTATATATATATTAATAAATTATAATTAAATTACTGATAATCTCTCTCTCTCTCTCTTTGTAATCAATAGACAGCTATTTTAACGCATCGAGTGACGAGGCATTTGACGCCGCCAGCCATGGATCAGCTGATGGCCAGGACTTGGATCCACAGCAACGACAACAGTTTGAAGAGGAATGGAAGCTAGAGTTGGCTAAAGTATTATCAATCAATCAATTTAATTAATTTTAATATATATACTAACCGTATGTCTGTCCAATCCATCCATCCATCTAACCATCACTAGACTGAGGAGGAGATCCAGACATTGCGACAGGTGCTCAACTCTAAGGTACAGCGAGCCCATGAGCTGAAGAGAAAGTTGGGTATAACCGTCTGGAAGGAGTTTCGCGAAGATATGGAACAGGGCATCAAAAATATCCAGGAGACCACTGCGTATGCCACCCCCTATCTCTACATACCCACCCCTACCCCCTGTTTATAATAATGATAACAGTAGCGTTAATCATACCTTTCAAAAAATAACCAGTACCCCCAACCCATCCCATCCTATCGGATAATAGTAATAATAGTATAACTGATGATATATATATGAGCCATCATTGTTGTTGTTGTTGGTGTAGGTGCAATGCTACCCCCCCCCCACCCCTATCAACCACTATATGACTAACTATATATATATGGTGACCCAAACACACACAACAAGCACAGGTGCACCCCATCCCTGTATATATTAAGTATAATACAGAGTTTATTTGAAATAATAATAATTATCTAATTGATAGAAATAATACAATAATTTTAGTTTTAGAAAACTACCGGTGCTTTTTAAAAAAATAAAAACTAAATCTCAATAGTTATATAACTTTTATATACTGTATAACTATTATTTAAAAAAAAAAAATTATTACTATAACACAGTATTACCGGTTAATAATATAATTTTAATAATAAATAATTTTTATGATATTAGTATTTTATGGGTTAGTTAGTCTACTACTACTACTAGCAAATCAATTGTATTTTAACTGTGCTAAATGACTATCAGCTATTTTGTTGTCTATATACCCGCCCCCAACCCCCACCCTCTATCTCTCTCTCTCTCTCTATTGACTATCAATTACCCGTTGATTATGTGTGTCTATAGTTAAACGGATATATTATTATTATATAAATGTTATAAACAGTTATAAAGATACGAGCGATAAGATCGTCGAGTGGAATACAGCCATTCAAACTGCTCCCATGTGAGTGTCTACCCCCTCCCCCACACACACACACCCACCCCATGTCAACCCTATCTACCTGTGCCCAACACTGTCTATGGGTGTCTAGTGTCATATGTATGACTGACTATCTGTACCGCTATCTTGAAACTGTCCATTACTTTTGTGGTTACCTATATATATATATATATATATATACTAACTATCCGTCTAACTGTCCTTATAATCGCTTTATTATTGTTGTTGTTGTCGCTTATGCTAACTGATAGCTCATGTATTTTATTAACAACAATTTAATTAAATTATTGTTGTTATTACTGTTAATGTTGTTGTTATTTGTTATTAATTACTGTTTTATTTTATAAAAATATATATATTTAATTAATTGTTTGTTTTAATATCTAATTTTTCATCCAAATTGCTTACCAAAAATTAATTACCGGTAATTAATTAATTACTAATAATAATAATAATAATAATATACAGCTCAGGATTGGGAAAGTTTTCATATGTGCCGACGTATGTCTAATAATAATAATAATAATAATTATAAAAAAAAATTGTTTTATTTTTAATATTTTCAATTATTTAACACTAATGCTTGTTATGTTTCATTGCTTTAATGTATTGTTTGTTTTTGATTGAAATAATTTATTATTTTTTAATAATTACTATTGTTTCTCAAAAATTTTTCAATTCAAACCACACACACATATATATATCAAAAATAATTATATTTTTTTTTTAATTTTATTATTTTTGTTTTTTTTTTCAATAGTTATCAGAAAACATCTGAAGTGGTAAAGACGGCAACGGAGAAGACATCGTCGGTGTTCGGATCGTTCGGCGGAAGTGTGGCCCGAAAGTTGGGCGAAGTTAAAAACTCGACGGCATTCAAGTCGTTTGAGGAACGGGTGGGTTCGGCGGTTACCAATGTTAAGGTTAGTAGTAGTATCGGTGGTAACCAGTGTGTATGTGTGTATCAGGGCTAACCCACCCACCCACACATACCCGTACCACTAGTGTGTGTGTGTGTGTGAGAGAGAGAGAGGGCTAACCCACCCATACATATCGGTACCTCCAGTCTGTGTGTGTGAGAGAGAGGGCTAACCCACCCACACATATCGGTACCACTAGTTTGTGTGATGGCTGACCCACCCATACATATCGGTACCACCAGTCTGTGTGTGTGAGAGAGAGGGCTAACCCACCCACACATATCGGTACCACTAGTTTGTGTGATGGCTGACCCACCCATACATATCGATACAACAAGTGTGTGAGGGCTAACCCACCTACACATACCAGTACCACCAGTGTGTATGTGTGTGAGAGGGCTAACCCACCTACACATACCGGTACTATCAGTGTATGTGTGTGTGTGTGTGAGGGCTAACCCATCCACCAACACATACCGTTACCACCAGTGTGTTTGTGTGTGTGAAGGCTAACCCATCAACACATACCGGTACCACTAGTGTGTGTGTGTGTGTGAGGGCTAACCCATCAACACATACCGGTACCCACCCATACACACATTTACCCGTTTTTTGTGCGGTAATTAATATATATTTTTTTTATTTTTTAGACCAAAATGTCGACATCGCGCAGCAATAGTACCAACAGTTTTGAGGACGCATTGAATAATAGCGAACAACAACAGCGCCAGCAATCGTTGAACGCCACCTCACCTACCATTCCCGAGGACAGGCCGTTATCGTAAAAAAATTAAACCAATTTGGCGGCCAAACAGATGGTTAAGAAAAAAAAGCATCAAAAATATCTGGTTTTATTTGGTGCTAATATATCGTATTTTTTATTATAACTTATTTTAATTATTATTATTATTATTATTACTTATCTAACTTTGGATGAGACTTACTGATGATATTATTATTATTATTAGATTATATGATAAAAAAAAACAATTAATTTTTTTTGTTTTGTATTTTTCTAAAAAATTATGAAAAATAATTATAAGATTTTGATTATTTCTCTTATTTTTTTCGCATACATATAATACCAAATTTTTTTTGTTTGTTTAAAATTAAGTTATAACTTATTATTATTTTTAAGAAATTATTATTGAATTTTCAAAATATTGTAATAATTATTATTATTATTTAATTTTTAAGATAATTTCACTGATTTATAGCAACAATGATATATATATATAACTGATTTTTATTGAAATTTTTTTTTTAATATATACAGTATAATTATATCTCATTTTTAAATATATATATATATTAAAAATAATTTATATATATATATATATATATCGTATTTGGTTAGTTTGATAAATATAATATTGAAAAATATTTTTTTCGCAAAATTTATTTAAAAAACATAAAATTATTTTATTAAACAAAAAATTTTACTGTAGTTTTTTTCACTACTATTACTACCGTATAATAATTATTAATAAATAAATCTAATTATTATTATTATTATTATCATTACTACAAATTAATGAAATAAAATATATATATATAAAAATCAAACAATTTTTCTTCAAGCACTTCAAATGCAACAAAAATTATTATTATTACTGTATTGTAAGCATTAAACCAAAATAAAAAAACATCGATTTATTTATTTATATATAAATTATTTATTAATTAATTAATTAAATACATATTAATATAGTTAGTATTTTTTTTAAAAATTATCTAATTATAATTGATATTATTTTTTTTGAACTTAAAAAATATTTTTCATAATTAGTTCATAAATAAATAATAAACAAAACTAATAAATATTATTAATATTTATGTTTTTATTTGAAAAAATCATTTTAAAAATTAATTAATAAATATACAGGTTTATTAAAAAATATTATATATTGATATATAAATTTAAAAACACATTTTACAAACATATTATCAAACTTGATGTATATTTTTAAATTAATTAATTATTTTTATATTTATATAAAATAATAAATGTCAAATTTTTTCTCAACTATAAAATACTATTGAATATATATAATTGTAATTTTAAAAAAATTATCTATTTTTTGGTGCCATTACTTATATAATATACTATTTTTCCTAAAATTTTAAATCACTTAATATACACTAAATTTCAAAATAAATCAAACTATCACTAAATGTTATATTTAAAAAAAAAAAAATAATTATTACGAAATGTGATTTTTTTGTGCACTTTACTAAAAAATATTATTATTGTCACCAAAATAAAAATAAATAAACTTAAATGTCATTGAACAAATTATAGTAAACTTAAAATTAATCAATAATTAAAAAAAACATTTTTAAAAACAATTTTAAAATTTTACAAATAATAATTACCGGAAATAATAATAATAATAATTATAATAATTAATTAGTGACAAAAAACAAACAAACATTGTGTACCATAAAATGTTATTATTATTATTGATAAATTATGGTAATTATAAATATATATATATATATAATTTATTATAATTATTATTAAATTTACAGTATATTATTATAATATTATTAATAACTAATTAATACATTAACATTACATATCTAAATACATATAATGTATCGTTAATTATCGTATCAATAAAAAATTAATCACTAATTTATTAATTAATTAATTTATTTAAAAATGTATTAATGACTAATAAATTGTTTTCAATATCTACGGCAATAGCGGGTGGTTTATTGGCGGTGACGGCGGCGCCGCCACCAATAAACCGCCCGCTATTGCCGTAGATATTAAAAACAAATGATTACGTAATAAATTCAAATTATTTATTTTTAATATCTACGGCAACAGCGGGCGGTTTATTGGCGTCACCGCCGCCGCCGCCGCCGCCATCACCACCACTACTGGCCGCCGATACTTCCGATTGTTGTTCGCTTTCCATGGCTTCGTTGGCCAACGTCTGCAACCTCTCGAGTGTTAGCCGTTGTCTCTCTTGTTTTCGTTGGGTTTTCATCAGACGTTTCTGTTCTTCGTCCCGCTTAACGATGGCCTCTTCGAAACGCGGATCGCGCGGATCCAAGTCGTAGCCGACAAACTCCCGAACCTCTTGAATCAGACGCTCTTTGCGTACGATTTCGTCCTCTTTGTCCGAATGCATTCGGCGATACTTTTGCCAGAAATCGCGACGCATTTGCGGCAATTTTTTCAAATTGGCCACAACTTCGCGCTGTCGATCGGCACGTTGTTTGGCCTCCCCGTGACGTTCGGCTTGGACTTCGGCTATCATATCGGCTAATGGCCGACAAAATGCTTGTTCGTAACCCCTGAGCCACTGGAGTTCATCGCGCGCCGGCCACTGGACGCCCGGTTTAAGGCCCGATTGGCGGCCATATTGGGCGTAATATTGGCGTATTTCTTCGGTACGTAAGTGCGGCAAACAATTAATCGGTCGCATCGATCGTACACTTGCCGGCAGATTGGACTTATCGCGAATGGCCATCAGTTCATCGTCGGTATACTTGACCTCATCCTCTACGACGACGGCATCGGTTGCCGTAGTGTCCAATGACTTCAAATCGGTGGCCACTGTCGGCGGCTGTGATTTTTTGCTGCCGCCGCCAAACAGACCGCCAAAAATATATCGCCGACCGATGACCGCCTGACCACTGCCTGTAGTTCGGGTGGCGTAGGCAACAGTGGCCGACAATAAAGCGGTAGTCAATCGCCGACCCGTAGTAGTGGTCGCAGTGGTGGCCAAACAACACGGGCTCATAGTTTGTGTGATTTTTTTTTTTGGTTTAATTTATTAATTAATTAATTATTTTTTTTGTTGATTTGATTTTGATTTATAAAATTAATTCATAGAAAACATGTGTAGAAAAACAATAATAATAATAATAATAATAATAAACTGTTCGGATTATATTCAAAACCAAAACAACAAGTACATAGATTTATATCATATAGATTATACTTAATATATATACTTACAAATAAAATATAGTGTGTGTGTGTGTGTGTGTATAATAACAGAAACTCCGCCCCTCGGAGGCATTAAACATACTAATATTGCGCGCATATATACATACAGTACACTATTGTGTTAGTTAGGCTACTGTGTTATTGTTATGGTTTTAAATATAATCGAAAAATTTTTTTTCATACAATCAAAACAATTTTAAAGAGTCATTCATATACACTGTACATACTGTACACTGTATTATACTGTATATTATAATTACTAAATTTAATTTAATATATATTTATTTATTTATAATTTTATTAATTATTTATTTTATTTTTTTAATTATTTATTAGTTAATTATAAATTAAATATTAAATAGTTTAGTCAAATCAATCAATCAATCATAAATTGAAAACCCCTTTACTATAGACTTTACTGTTAAGCATTGTTGACTGCATTTGTGTGTGTAATGTTGGCTAACGTTTACTACACATATACAGTATAGTATTGTATAGTAATGCCCCTTTGATTGGGTGGCTGACCTGCACTACACACTTACCAAAAATACTGTATAACCGTTTTGCAGTTAAGCCCAAATTACAGGCGAATTATTATAAATTATAAACTTATTTATAAAAAAAACTATTCAATAATTACCGGTATATTTAAATTTAAAATAAAATAATTAATATAAAAAAAATAAATAAACACTAGTAATTAATAAAACTATTTATTTAGAAAAAAAATAATTAAAGTAATTACTTAACTCAGTATATATATAATTGTTTGATTTTATTACAAAATTTAGTTAAATTGATAATTAAAATTTCTATAAATTGATTAATATTTTAACCATTTTACTTAATTTTTTTCTAAATATAATATATATATATAATTTAAAAATCAATCATTAATATCAAAATTTAAATATAATTTATTTATTATACAAATAGTTTTAAAAACAACTGGACATAAACTAAACACAAATGTTATATAAAAAAAAAAAACATAATATATATCTTTGAAAACAATTTATTTATTTATTTATGAATTATTTTACAATGATTTACAAAAACAATTGAAATCATTGACCGATGTCTTAGCATATTTATCGGCAAATTCGTTGTCCTCTAACTCATAGAAAGCAGTCAACGGTACGTACAATGGTTTAGTTGGATCATACTGTGCCCGACCTAACCGTTTCAGATACAGGTGTCGGGATTCGATCGATTGGCGAAATTTCATCAGTATTTGTGGAAATTTGGTCAACAATTCATGGGATATCATCATATCGTTGTGTACCAAATCAAACACTTTGATGACTATACGATGAGCTAAAAACAAACATTTAGTTAAAATATCTAATTACCGTAAAATTGTGTTTTATTTCCCATATGGAATTCAAAAAAATAAAATAAATAAATAATAACATTTTCATACGGGTGTATAAAAAAACTCGCATTTTTTTTTATCACCAGTGGTAATAATTAAACGAGTCAGTGGGGGAGGGGGAACAAAATTGGGGGGGGGTGGAATAAGGAACTGTAATTTACGCCCATAAATTATATAACAGTAATCAATTTTTTTTTTTAAAAAAAACTTTTATATTTAGATATATTAGTTATAACAATGGGTTTAACATAATAATAATAAATGACTTTTTTTTTTTTTGGTATACATTTACAGTATTTTTACGGTATATTATAAATCTATAAATAGATAGCATATTCAATGGGGGTTGGGGGTGGGGGTTGGAACAACTAGAGACGTCCCAAATACATGGGGGGTGGGGGTGTGAGGGAAATCTTGAAAATATATACAAAAAACAGGGGGTGGGTGTGTGTGGGAACTTATTATTCAAAAGTATTTTTTAAAAAAACTATATATTTTTCTTATGTATGAAAAACTCTCGCATTATTCCCCATGACTTGTGAGATAAAACCAACAATTTAACGGTTAATAGTTATTAATAGTTATTAATAGTTAGATAATAATAATAATAATAATAATAATAGTTATATTAAATTACATTTATGACTTTTAGAGCATAGGAGGAACAGTTCCGGTGATTTCAATAATATGGATCTGATTTCGTCGCCATTGAAGCCAAACTCTTCGGCAAATATGAACGTCAACTCCTTTTTTGATGTTTTGGCCGATAAATGGTAAACAAAAAAAAAGATAAACAATTAAATTGTGATTATAAGTACTGTTATAACCAATCAATCATTCATTCATACTCTGTAAGCCATATCGTTAAGTAGGACTAAGTTTGGACATCGGGTCATCAGTTGGCGGATATCGGCCGCCGATAGCCGAAACTCTTTCAGCATAAAAGCCAACTTATAGTCAACATATTTGGTCGTATTGTTCAACAGTTCCGGACAATTGGTGACCATCGCGGCAATCATATCCTTAGTAAACCGTTTCGATCGGTAATAGTTTAGCCGTACGTTCAAGTCGTCCATATGTTGGCTAAATATCAATGGATTTCGTGTAATAAAATCGGCCAACTGTGACGGCCAGACACCGCATACGTTGACCAGAAACTCGATATACGGTTTGATATCGGCCTCGAAGTCCAACTGTAGGATATAGCCGGCGATCTCGGGTCTGGTGTTTTCAATTTGTACTAAATTGACGCCCAATTTGATTAGCATTTCGATGGTCACCGATCGGTTAGCATAGGCGGCCAGATTATAGGACAATGGGACTACGGGACTTAATTCATCCAGTAATTCACGGCCATCAGTGTCCAGTGGGGCTAATGGCCTAATCGGTCGCCGATTATTCAGGCGATGATCATATCGGGCCAGATCTGTATGGTTGATGTCCGCCACCGCATCCAAACGCTTGTATATTGTCGGCGGTAACTGTTGGCCACTGGTGTCGGGCCGCCGGCGATAACCCACGTGTTGTTGTTGTTTATATTGTTGGCCACCACCGATTGAGCCGAAAAATTGTCTACCGATTGTCGCCGGCAATGGTCGCCGTAATAGTTTTGTTGATAACATTATTATTATTATTATTTAGCTAGATCATTTTATTTATTAATATTTTTATTATTAATTAATTAATTAATTAATAAAAAAAAAGTTTTATAACGTTTTATATATTAATACTGTATTTATTGTTAATAATAATAATAATAATAATAATAATAAAAAAAAACATATGTTTTTTTAATATACAGTATATAAAAAAAAATATATTCATAAACAACGTTACATTATATAAGTACTATACATGTACATGTACATATATTTTTTTAATATTTTAGTTTTTACATTTTTTGAAGATAATAATAATAATTAATAAATGAATTTTTACTGTTTATATTTTATTTTATTTTTTTCTTAATCTTATCATATGATATAAAATAATTTAATAAATTTTAGTTTATTTAATTTGATATGAATGACCTAGGCAAATTTTTTTTTTTGTTTATAATAAAATATTTTTATACTGTATATACAGTACAGTATCTATGTGTGTGTATGTTTATAGCTTAATCATTGAAACATTGTACAGTACAGTAGATTATACATACAACAAAAATATTTAGTTTAAAAAAAACTAAAAAATTAAAAAAAAAATTAATAATAATAATTAAATAAAAAAAATCCCTGTATTATCATATAATTATTATTTTTTTAAAAATTAAAAATTGTGTATATGTTTGTGGGTGCAGTGTCCAAAAAAATATCATATTTAAAATATTAGCAATATACAAAATAATTTATTATTTTATAAAAAATTAAAAATTTTTTACTAGTAGTAAAAAACATAAAAATCAATAACAAATTGTACTAGTATAATAAGTACAATAGAAATTTTTTTATTATTTTGTTGTTAACTTAAAAATTTTTAAATAATAATAATAATGACCTTGATCATTAATAATAATAATTGCTATCTAATCATTAATAATAAGAATAATAATAATAATAAAAATGGACAATGAATTATTATTAACCCAACAATTTTACCATGATCAATTTAGAAAACTATTAAAACTATTAATAATATTATTAATACTATTAGTTATATTAGTTATCGTAATCGTTGTATTAGTTATAGTATTGTTGGCCGTTTTGTGGCTAACATCGGATGTATTGGTTTCGGTAATCGACTTATTGTTGGACACTATCGACATCATCGACACAATCGCCGACAACGATATCGTTGGCCGATAACAACATCCGTAGTAAACAAGTAGTCACTTATATATATATATATATATAACACCCGACAGTATGTCACCCGACGGTAACGGTTCGACAGCTGACGGCCAACACAATCGCAAGTGTCAACAGATGACCGCCGCAACCGCCGCCGCCGCCAATGACCTCAACAGCGATAGCCGACGACGCGAATCGTCAACACAATGGTCCGAACAGGACATCATCGGCAACGACCGGATTGGCTACGATAGTTCCCGCGATATTAATAGCCATTTCTATGCCATCAATGAACGCCCAGTGGACGACATATCTCTGGAATTCTTCTATAAGCCGCACACCATCTCGTTGTTGACCGTATCGATTGTGGCCGTATTTTTTACCGCATTTCAACGCAGCGGCGACGGCGCCGACCACTCATTGGAGGACAACATTTGCGACGGCTTGCTRTGTGTTGTCTTCTTCTTCCTAATCATATCGATGTTGACCTTTCCGAACGGCCCGTTCACGCGACCGCATCCCGCAGTTTGGCGTCTGATTTTCGGCTTAAGTGTCCTGTATTTGATGGCATTGTTGTATCTATTGTTTCAAAACTTTGCGACCGTTAAGTCCATAATGTATTGGTTTTATCCCGATTTGAAACACTTTCGTATTGACTCCGAAAAGGTATTACCGATAGTATTACAAGACATCTCTCTCACYCACTCACTCACTCACTCACTCACTCACTCACCCACTCACTCACCCACTCACTCACCCACTCACTCACTCACTGACTTATCCACTAATTTACTCACTCACTCAATCACCCACTAATTTACTCACTCACTCACTTATCCACTAATTTACTCACTCACTCAATCACCCACTAATTTACTCTACTCACCCACTAATTTACTCACTCACTCACCCACTAATATACTCACTCACTCACCCACTAATTTACTCACTCACCCACTAATTTACTCTACTCACCCACTAATTTACTCACTCACTCACCCACTAATTTACTCTACTCACCCACTAATTTACTCTACTCACCCACTAATTTACTCACTCACTCACCCACTAATTTACTCACTCACTCACCCACTAATTTACTCTACTCACCCACTAATTTACTCTACACACCCACTAATTTACTCACTCACTCACCCACTAATTTACTCACTCACTCACCCACTAATTTACTCACTCACTCACCCACTAATTTACTCACTCACCCACTAATTTACTCACTCACCCACTAATTTACTCACTCACTCACCCACTAATTTACTCACTCACTCACCCATCACTTATTTACTCACTCACTCACCCATCACTAATTTACTCACTCACTCACCCATCACTAATTTACTCACCCACTTACTCACCTACACTAACACACACACACACACACACACACACACACACACATACATAGCAATTGTATATAACTCTTGTAATATCTRTTAATTAATTTCTAATCTCTCATATTTTTTGYGATACCTCTACCACTTCCTCCTCCTCTTCCTCCACCACATCAAGCAATACGCCATCAACTGCTCGGATACCTCAGTCCAGCGAATCTGGAACACTGTCGACGTCTTTGCTTGGGGCCATTTCTTTGGCTGGACAATGAAGGCCATCCTCGCCCGACACTACGGCATTTGTTGGACAATATCGGTCACCTGGGAGATCACCGAAATGGCTTTCGCACACCTGTTGCCCAATTTTGCCGAATGCTGGTGGGATTCAATAGTCCTCGATGTCCTCATATGCAACGGTATAACCATTTCATTGATTGATTGATTGATTGGTGACATTAATTTGATCCCAATATCTGTTTTGTTATTTTCAATCACTATTAGGTTTAGGCATATGGTTTGGTATGTGGATCTGCCGGATGCTTGAGATGCGGACATACAAATGGGAAAGCATTAAGTAATTACCCGTAACTGTTAAACCCCCCCCCCTAATTATTCCTCCTCCACATCCTAACCATACATATGAGATAATCATCTTTGTTGTTGTCATTGTTGTTGTCGTCTATAACAGGGACATACAGTCGACATCGTTACGTATCCGKCGTATGCTTCTACAGTTTACACCCGCCGACTGGGAACACGTCCACTGGTTTGACCAGTCYCGGCCGTACGTCCGTTTTCTGGCCGTTACCCAATTGGTCATATTCTGGCAGATGACCGAATTGAATACGTTTTTCTTGAAACAYATTTTCGACGTACCRCCCGATCACCCGCTGTGTCTCATCCGACTAGCACTGGTCGGTCTGATTGTKGCGCCGTCGGTCCGTCAATACTATACGTATGTTACGGATAAACGATGCAAACGAGTCGGTACCCAGTGCTGGGTATTCGGTGCCATTATGCTGACCGAGGCACTGGTATGCATCAAATTTGGGCTCAATATTTTCGCACAGACACAGATCCAGAATATTATCTCATGGCTGGTCATACAAGTAATTTAAATTAATTWAATTTAATTAATTAATTATAATTATAATGAAATTTTTTGATACATTTTTGTTTTGCACTTTTCTATCTYCTGTGTAGTAGTAGTAGTAGTAGTTGAAGTAGTAGTAGTAGTAGTAGTGGTAGTAGTAGTACTTGTAGTAGTAGTAGTAGTAGTAGTAGTAGTAGTAGTTGTAGTAGTAGTAGTAGTAGTAGTAGTAGTGGTAGTAGTAGTACTTGTAGTAGTAGTKGTAGTAGTAGTAGTAGTAGTAGTTGTAGTAGTTGGTAGTGGTAGTAGTAGTAGTAGTAGTAGTAGTAGTTGTAGTAGTTGGTAGTGGTAGTAGTAGTARTAGTTGTAGTAGTAGTAGTAGTAGTAGTTGTAGTAGTAGTAGTAGTAGTAKTTGTAGTAGTAGTAGTAGTAGTAGTAGTAAGGGTGGGGTTGATAGTGGGTGTGTGKGTGAATTACTGGTATACCCCGTTAGGATTTAACCCACACCAATTGATATGGTTGTTAGTTTAGTATGTTTTTCCGGGGGGGGGGGGGGTTGTTAATGTTTTAGGTACTCTAATGATAATTTCTATATAAAATTAACAAAAAAAAATTTTTGATAAAAAACTATTTTCAATAGACTAAACAATTTCAAACTAAAAAAAATAATATTATTTTTATAAATATTTATATTAATATTATTACATAGTATTAACATATTTGGTAGTTATATTGTATTACAACCGGATACTAATGATTATATTGTTTAAATAATATATTTTTTTATCGATTTATTATTATTATTATTACTATTATTTATATAATAATTTATATATATATATATTTTTKWWWAAAATCATTAACATTATGTAAATACTATATTTTATTTATTTTTTTATAAAAAAAAACTTAATTTTAAAAATCTWTTACTAAATTTATGTTTTATAAATTTTTATATTATTATCAGAATATTTTTTTCAGTTTAAATTAAATTTTAACTACTTTTAATTAGTTTAGTAGACATTTATAAAAAAATTGATATATTATTTATCTACTATATAAATATATATATTGTATATTAATGTTAAAAGTATTGTAATTAATTGTAATTAATTGTAATTTAATTTAATTATTTATTTATTTTTTAWAAATTACCAGTTATTGCTCAGTATATTCTGTATATCAATGTGCATACTATGGGCTAAATATACCGATACCGGTGGCTATGAATCTCTTGATGATTACCGTATAAATAGTAAACCAATGGTCACAATCTCATCRTCATCAGTATCATCATAACAGCAAACATGACAACAACAACAGTACCCCCGCCGCCAACAGTACCGTAGGTCCTGGTGTTAGTRKTGGTGGTAGTGGTGGTGATAGTAATAGTAGTAGTAGTGATGGTCACAGTTTGCGTAATAGATATTATAAATAATAGATTAMWAAAATAAATAAATAATTAGGAAATAAAAACAAATTTTTTAAATGTACATCAAGCCGCCCTACCCCTCCCTATACAGCCTCTCCCCCTGACCTACCCCTCCCTATACAGTGATATTTATAATATAAAGTAATTTAAATTATTATATACCSTAYAATGTAATTTAGATTTTTGATATACCGATTAAACAATAACAAAAAAATTGTATTATTATTATTATATAATTATATATTTATAGTAAATTTTTTTTATAGATTTAAATGTATTAATAATTGTAACAAAAAAAAAACAATAATAATTAATATTTATATAYATWTTTTTTGTGTTAGACTTGTTTAGTGTGTGTATGTGTGATATACTATTGATAAAATAAAATAAATTTTTATCATTAATAATAATATTGTATTTATATATATATATATATAAATTATACTCTAAGTCTAAGTATTTTAATGTAATAATAATAATACTTTATATATATATATATATTTATAAATTATAAGTTAATAACAACAAACAAAATAACATACAATACTTGTCAAACCAAATCACATATATATATATATATATATATTTTTATCTATAGTACTCATTATATATATATTTGTTTAACTATTTAATATAATTTAGATGTGAGTTTTGTTAACAAAAAATAAATAATAAWAATAATTTTAKTGTAATATTTTCAACAACAAAAAATGATTTTTATTTAAATATATTAATAAATAAAACAATATTTTATTAACAAATATTATTATTAACAATTATTTTCATTGGCAACAGTTTATACTGTACTAATATATATATATATATATAAATATTATTAATATTACAAAAAATATAGCTGTAATCTAAATATTGATAATAATAATAATAATTTTTTTTAAATATATTTTATTATGTATAAATACTAATATATATATTTATAATGGGAAATATATATATATATAAACAATATATTAGATTATTACCATAGTTGTTTACAGTAAAAAATATGGTAAAAACAATTTTTTTTATAAGTTTGGTTAAAATATATATATATATATATATATATATATATATATAATATAAATATATTATTATTAATTAGTTGTATGGATACAGTATATTATCATCAGCATATAAATAATATATTAATATATATATATATATACAAAAAAAATTTTTTTTGCTAATCATAAATATTAATTACATTAAAATATTTGTCGGTTAATACTATTTTTTAATCAGTGAATAAAATTAAATTTTAGTTATTAATTATTTATAAAGTTTTGTATATATACGGTAYATTATATATATATATATATAWATATTTTTAGCACATTAATTATATTAGTCTAATTAAAATATTTTTTTTTTGAAAAAATATTAATTTAATTGAAAAATTTATTAATTTATTTATTATCATAATATTATAACTATTTTATTTGCTGATATTATTATTGGTTAACTTTAAATGATTWACTAAACAAAAATAAATTGCGGTTAAAAATGTGGTTAAATTTTTCCCGATAAAAAAAATTCAATATAAATATTTTAAAATACAAACTTAATGTATTTTAAAATATTTTTAATACTTTAATAAATTAGTAGTAGTAATATAGTGGTTGAATTAAACTTATAATATGCATATATATATAATATATTTAATATCTAATATACTGTATATATATATATATAAATAATTTTTGCATTTCATAGTTAGCGCCGCTTTCATCAATGACCTTAAATTATATATATATATATATACTATATATATATATAAACAGTATATACAGTAAAATAATTGTCAATCCTTTTTAAAAACTACAGGATCTCTCTCTCTCTCTCTCTCTCTCTCTCTCTCTCTCTCTCTCTCTCTATCACTATATAGTATATACAGTATAAAGTTTATACATATATATATATAAATAAAATGATGATATATTTGAGCGATTCATTGGATATAACATAACATAGCATAACATCCTAACCCCACACCTAATACATACATACATACACACACATACACACACACATACACATACACATACATACACACACATAGTGTGTGAGTCATTGAAAATTRCTATCAAAACCAATACATACATACATAACACACAAGCATTGCATTGAAACGCTTGCAATCGCTATATACACTGTATTTATAAAATAAAAAGTATTGTAAAACACGACACTAATAATAATAATATTTAAACACATAATAATTATTATATAATATAATACAATACTATATAATTAATTGTATGACATCATCATCATAATCATCATAATTATCTTAAATGTGTTAATCAAAAAAATATAATAAAATAATTATTAATAATTATTAATAATTGATTTAATAATAATATATAAACGTCAATATAATATTTTTAAAAAATTATCCATGTCTATTTTATTATTTATATATGATATATTTTAATATTATATATGATATATCAGTGAATTTTTTTTATATATATAATATGATATTGATAATATAAATTGTGCTTGGTGAAAATAAATATATTATATTAATTTAATTAATTAATTAATTAGCTATAACTGATAGTTGATATATTAGTCTATTTCTAAAAATTTTGTTAATAAATATATGTATATTAAAATGTTTTTTATTAATAATCATTTAAATTGAGATTATTATGATTTTTTTTATTTAAAATTAAAAAAATGATTTAATAATTTAATTATATATATATATCATATATGATATGTGAAAAATAAGTGTCAAATAAAAAAAATGTTTCTGTGATTAATATTTATGATAATTATTGAATAAAATAATTTTTTAAATAAATTAATAAAATTGTATCAAAAAAATGTGTTAATAATTATTTAATATAGTTTTCATACATGTTTGTGATTTATTTGTTTTTTTTATATTAAATTATAATTAAAAAATAATAATAATATTGTGTTTTATTATAAATTTTATTAATAATAAGTTTATTAAATTATAAAATATTTTTATGTATTATAATTGTTAACAACAATACAAGAGTCATAACCAACAAAATTATTGCCACAAATAGTTAGCCAACCGTTTGATTGAAACTTGAAATATATTTTATATATTATATATAAATATTTTTGACTAATTTATAATTGAAACAAACTTTTGTAACAAATTTTTGTTGATTTTTTTGTTTAGTTAGTGTATGAAAAAAAATTTAATATAAAAATTTAATAATTCATTTCCACATTTGTCGAGTCATTAATAATAATAATAAGTTTTTTAAGTTTTTTATTTTAATAATAACAACAATAATATTATTATAACTAATAGGCAAAAAATTTCCAACATTTATTATTATTATTATATATTACAAATAATATTAATAAATTAATTAATTAATTAACTCAATATATGTTATCAATATTATTATTATTAGTGTGAAAACTTAAAATATAATGAAAAAAATAAATTAAATCAAAAAATATATAAATATTTTAAATATTAATAATAATTTCTAATAAAAATATTAATAATAATTTCTAATAATAATATTAATAATAATTTCTAATAATAATAATAATAATAATAATAATTTCTATATAAAAAAATCTAATTATTATTATTACTATTATCTATCTATCTATATATATATATAAATTTAAATATATTATATTATATTATATTATATTATATTATATTATATATATATATATATATATATACAAAAACAAAATGTCTACAAGAAGTGGTGGTCCAGAGGTCTATACCGGTAGTCAACTATTTAAGTCACTGTCCATTAGTACAGGTCTTCCATTGGATCAGGTATTTGATGATAATTTTCTAGAAATTTGAAATCAGATATTTGTTGTTAAAATTTTATAACTTAATAATATGTTTGTTATGGTTGGTTTGGTTTTCAGATCAACTTTCTGTTAGCCCAGTTGTCTGGTCTAGTATTTGCCATTGTTTTTCGCAAATATCTATCCTATACCCGGGTATCGGTGGCCACCCGACAGTATGTTTGCCTGATTTTCGGCGCTATAATCGGCTATTTTTGTTTCGGACAGTAAGTGTTGGATATATAGTGTTTATTGACATATGATATGATTATATATATATATATATATATATATATATATTAAACTACTATGATTTCAATAACTTTCAATAAGTTATATAATACTGTAATTATATTATTAATATTAATATTTAATTATATATATATCTATAGTTTAGTATAATTTAATAGCTAATATTGAATGGCTTCTCTAATAGATAGTCTAAATTAATTAAATTAATTAAATTAATTAATTAATTAATAATCAATGTCAAATAAACCAAAATAACAAATTAAAAAATAAATAAAAACAACTAATAAAACACTAGATATTTTTGCATAATTTTTATAATTATAAAAATTATTAATTAATTTAGTAGATTTTTAATTAATAATTTAATTAGTCTACTAACTTAAAAAAAATAATTAATAATTTTTATAATTATTACAATTATGCAAATATATATATATATATAGTGTTTTATATTTTCAAAAATTTAGGTTTTTATAATATTTGTTGTTTTGTTTTGATTTGACATTGATTTTTAAAAACATAAAACTTTTTTTTAGCACTACTTTTAGCACTTATACTGTAAATAGACTTTAACAACAAAAATAAGATTATTTTTAAAAAAAAATAAAAATTATTGTATTAGTCTATAGTGTATATGTTTTTTACAAATATATTAATATAATACCAAAAATATTTAGTACAGTATTTATTTTATTTTTTATTTATTTTTTTGATGGAAAAATCACTTAACGATAGATTTATTTATTTATATATTTTTTGTGTCAATGATATATCTATATATATAATAATAATAATAATAATATGGTATATATTTATAGTTTTTTTTTAAAACCCAAAACAATTTGGCGGTAATTATACTGTAATATAAAAACTTGTAAATCTCTATAACACTTATATTAAGTACAAAAAATCAATATCAATAGTAAACATCAAAATCGTATGATTTTTATTATATATATAATATTTATTATTATTACTTTATCATTGAATTTATTATACAGTATTAAAAATTATTATATTTTGGGGTTTAAAGTACTGTTTGGTTGACTGTCATAATATATTCATACATTTATTCATACATTATAATAATTATTATTAATTATTTGATAATTTTATTACTAAATAATTTATATATATATATATATATATATATGTATATTAATTTATTTTTTACAAAATTAGCCCAGAGTACATTATTACGTTTTATGTTAGCAAAAAAAATAAATTATCTAGCAACTAGCAACACACACACACATAAAAATTTAAAAAAATAATTTAATCAAATGTGATATTTATATATATATATATATAATTTTATCAAATTTATTTTTGCTGAGAAATTTTTTTTKWTGATTTTATTATTTATAGAAATAGACTCAAAAAAAATAAAACAAATATTTTATATAATTTTGGCAAAAAAAACTTTGTTACAAACAAACAAAAAATATTTGCAATTTTTTTACCTGTAATATATTATAATATAAAATTTATATAAAATTTAATATTAATAGCTAGATATAATATTTATTACTATTATTGTTTTGTTATTAATAAAAAATAATAATAACTTGATATATATATATATAAATAATTTATCAATATCAAATTTTTTTTTGTTAAAACCATTTGATAACATATAATAAGATACTGTATTTAAAATTATTTTTTTTAAAAAAATTGATAGACATATCACATATAATTTTGTTGATGTTGTTTAAAAAAAAATATTGCACTATAGATAAAATATATTATTATTATTATTATCATTATAGATAAAAAAATATATATACTGTATAATATCAATATATAATTTTTTGTTTGTTTGTAAATTATTATTATTATTATTTTTTAAAGATTAGCTATATTACAGATAATTAGTATAAATACTGTAATTATTGTTTATCATATTTGAATATATATATATATATATTTCTAATTATTTTTTATAATATTTTGATAATAATTATTAATAATTATTATTTATTTCATGTAAATACTGTACTAACCTATTATATGTGATTATATTGAATATTTAGAAAATATATATAAATTTATGATTAATTATTATATTTAAAAAATATATATTATCATTGTTTATTGATTTATATATTTTTTTTATAAAAAACAATTAATGATTACACCTAAAAACTTAATGTTTTTTTTGTTGTTGTTGTTAGTTTGCATGATAAAATATAATAATAATTATATTAATAATTTTGATAAAAAAATAACAATAAATAAATAATTACAAAAAAAACAATTTAATTAATACAAAATTTAATAGTAGTTTAGCATGATCAATTTAATCAATTTATCATTAATTATTTATTGAATTTTATTATATTAGACACAAACACACATAATAATAATAATAATAATCAAATAGTTTAGATTAAATAAATAAAATAACAATAAAAAAAWTWAAAAACAAATTTATTAGACAAATAATTAATAAAATTTCAAAATTAAAAATTAATTTATTATTAATATATGACATCATTAAATGTGTTAATCAAAAATAATAATAATAATAAATATTAATAATTGATATAATAATAATTAAAYGCCAATTAAAAAAAATATTATAATATTAATWTTATTTTTTTKRAAAAAATTATCCATGTCTATTTTGTTATTTATTTTTTAGATATATATTTTTGAATATATTTATATATYAGTGGAATCAATCAATCATATTATATATAATATATATTGTGCTTGATGAAAATTAATTATTAATTAACTATAGTTGATATAATAGCCATTTTTTTAAAAATAAATAAATAAAATTAAATTTCTTATTAATTAATTAATTAATTTTTAATTTGTTTGTTAATTATTAGGCAAATATACAATCTATTAATATTGACAACACTGTCATACATTGCTATACTAACCTGTAGTCCAAATGTTGTCCAACGGGTTGTCCTATTTGTGGCGCTCATGTATTTGTCTTATTTGCATTTGTTGCGGCTGTTCCACGATTACGGCGGCTATACTATCGATATCACTGGGTATTGTATTATAATGTCACCCACCATCACCCCTCCCCCACACACACAATTGAGTTTTTCAATTAACTGATATCATTATGTTTTTAATGTTAAGGCCAATCATGATTGCCGTCCAAAAGGTTACAAACGTTGGATTCAGTCTTCACGATGGACTCAATAAATCAGATGAAGAGTTAACTGACGATCAAAAACGTTACGCCATTCGGTAGGTGTTTGRTTGGTTTGTCTGTCTCCCTGTCCATCAGTTCCTCGATGTGTGAGAGAGAGAGGGATAGGGATAGGGATAGGGATAGGGATAGGGATAGGGATAGGGATAGGGATAGGGATAGGGATAGGGATAGGGATAGGGATAGGGATAGGGATAGGGATAGTGATAGGGATAGGGATAGGGATAGGGATAGGGATAGGGATAGGGATAGGGATAGGGATAGGGATAGGGATAGGGATAGGGATAGGGATAGGGATAGGGATAGGGATAGGGATAGGGATAGGGATAGGGATAGGGATATAGAGATCCCAATGTTATGTATTACAGACTACCGGTATTACCGATTTGTTTCAATAATAATATATTCATATATTTTTTAAACTTTTTTTTAGTCGGAAACCGACATTTCTCGAGTATTACAGTTATGTATTTCAATTTCATACGCTAATGTGCGGACCGTTAGTTTTCTACAACGATTACATTGATTTCATAACCGGCCAAAACTATGAACGCCATCGACATCGACAACATCACCATCACATCATCGACAACACTAGTGGTGACAAACAATTACTAATACAAGAGTCTCCTAATAATCATAATACTAATAATAAACAATTTCCATCACCATTGGTAAGTATGTGTGATATACCCCCTCACCTAAAAATTAACCACCCCCCCCTTAATAATCAAATTAGTCCTAATCAACCAAATACAATATATACATACAGGTGCCGGCTATTAGAAAGCTAACTGTTAGCCTAACGTTTGCGGTACTATTGCTCACAATTGCACCCATGTTTCCCATTACATACTTAGCAGGTAATTAATTAATTAATTAATAATAATTATTTGTTTTAAATTTATATTTATATTAATTTTATTTTTTTATTATAGTTATATTTTATATTTAAATATTTTTTTAAAAAAAATATTAGGTAATAATAATAATAATATTACCTAACATTTTATATTATAGTTATATATTTATATTTAAATAATTTTTTTTAAATATTAGGTAATAATAATAATAATAATTACCTAACATCTTATTTTATATTATAGTTATATTTTATATTTAAATATTTTTTTTTAAAAAATATTAGGTAATAATAATAATAATATTACCTAACATTTTATATTATAGTTATATATTTATATTTAAATAATTTTTTTTAAATATTAGGTAATAATAATAATAATAATTACCTAACATTTTTTTTGAAAATTATTGAAAATATAAAATATAAAATATAACTATAACTATAAAATAAAATTTTAGGTAATTATTATTACAGTATTATTCTTATTAAAAAGTTTATAAATTTGAAAATTATTTATAATTTAATTTAATTAATTAATTAATTATTTTTGTTGTTGTATTTATGTTAATAAGACAACAAATTTTTGGATGAAACACCGTTTCTCACAAAACTAGTTTATATATTATGCGCCACTTGTGTGGCCCGATTCAAGTACTATCACGCCTGGATACTCGGCGAAGTTATATGTCTGGCCAGTGGTCTAGGGTTTGCCGGTTATGACACTACCGACACCACCGACAACACCACCGACAACAGTGACGGCCGTCGACCCGATTGGGAACTGATGTCGAATATCGATATTTTCGGCTTCGAGGTCAGTATACCCCTCCCTTTCCCGCTCAAAATGTATGGATCGGACGTGTTTTAATTGATACCATTCCCTCCTACCCCTCCACCCCCGCCCACACAGAATGCCCTAAACTTTCGGACATCGTTGACCGCTTGGAATAAAACCACACAACTATGGTTGAGGAGGACAGCCTACGATCGCAACCGGGGGCCATTACGCCTACTACTAACCTATGTGCTATCGGCACTGTGGCACGGTTTCTATCCGGGTTACTATCTGACCTTTTTAGGCGGGGCATTTTTTACTATGGCCGCCCGCAATGTTCGCCGTCTAGTTAGGCCACACTTTCACCGACAACATCATGAGGACAGCCGTTATCGACCAGTGCTGGCCATTGTCTACGATTGTCTAACCTATTTGACTACTCGTATAGTAATGGCTTATCTAGTATTTCCGTTTGTCCTGTTAGAGTTTAGGGCCTGTTATGAGGTATATAAACGGCTATATTTTTTCGGTCATTTACTCGGACTGTTCGCCATAGTAGTACTGCCGACTATAGTGTCGGCACCTCCTAAACTACCGACTACTCCTACTAAAGCTAACTGTGCGTCCAATGGTAATAATGTTAATAGCATTTACAATAACCATAATAATAGTAACAAAAAACATTTACCGGTTATAGACGATAGACATAAAAAATTTGATTAACATTTATATATATATATATATCGAAACACAAATATTATTATTATTATTGAAATTAATATTATTATTTTTTTATAAATAAGTTTTTTTTTAAAAATATTCATTAAATGTTACAAAAATTTCATTACACATTACAATCTGTCCATTAATATTATAGTTATTATTATTAGTAATTAGTTTAAATTCATTATAAAAATTTTTGTTTATTATAATTATTTATATTATATATATATATATATATATATATATATATATATGACGAACAAAAATTTTTTTTGTAACTCAATATACTTTAAATATTATATACTGTCTATAAATATAAATTTAATTTTAATAAGAAATGTGAGATTTTATTGATTATACAGTACTTTATAAAATATATATTATTATTATTTTTATTATTATAAATCTATATATATATATTACAATATAATACGCGCGCGTGAATCGACTCGGATGAGCGACTTTTGAGTCCGTCCGGGCTGCCCAACCAATCATTAGCGAAGAGCTACTCGCGGGACGACCGCCAATGACCGGATGGTTTTCGGGCACCACTTGGGCCGAAACTACACCTTTCAGGGCTCGGGCGCTACCCTACCGCTAGCACACGTATGGTTGTAGTGTTGAATTTGTTGACACAAAATTAAAGTTAATTCACTATTTAATGTGATTATATAATAGTTTTATTGAACTGATATAACATAAACTAATAATACATTAAAATAAGGGAACAGAGTCTGAAACTCAACTAAAAACTAATACAAAATCTCGGACTCTATAATCGAGAGAGATCTCAGCGAGAGGTCCAGAGTTGGGAACTGTTGGCCTTTATATAGGCTGAAGGGGTAGCAGTATATACTACATGTGGGCCGTACTCAACAGCCAATAGCATGCAATAATACACACAAAGTAGTCATTATACTGTACCCCACCACACCTTAATAAAAGCCCCCAGTTTTACAAAAATATAAATTTAAATAATTATATAATAAAATAATATGAATTACATTAGTACAATTATCAATAGAATAGTTACCGCCTTAAAATAATAGGGGAAACCCGAGGACCGGGAGGAAACCTATTGACAACAGTAGCTGAAGCGGTCCCAGATTACATCAATGTAAGGATAGGCTCAAAATTTTTAAATTAGTCCCAATTTTTAGGACACTAATAATAACTATGAGATTGAAAGCTAACCTAATTTTGAATTACCTTTACATCAATGCAATCACTTGTTATTACAATACAAGCGCTACTATTGACCCATTAAATAGATTATACAAAATTATAAAATTAATAAATATGAAATTATAAGTATAAAATCAATAAATGTAAATAAAAAATATTATAATGTATTTGTTGTATATTATTGAAATTAAAATAGCGTGATAAATATTATTTTTTTAAATATATTAAAACATAATAATAACTTGTATCATATATGTAGCTTATACTGTATAAAACTTTACAAAAAGTTATTAAGGGTTCATATTTTTGCCTTTTATAGTCAACACTGTATTGCATAGACTTATTGTTTTACATATGATTTACATATGTATTGCATTTCATAAGTTTTGAGTGTTGTATTCGGCAGACGATTGAATCAATTGTTATTTTTTTTTGTTTGTAGTTTTGAATCACTAACTAATTGATTGATTAATTAATCACTTTGTTGTTGATTTGAATACTTTTTTTTTTGATTGACTGATTGATTGATTGATTGTTTGATTGATTGATTGATTACCAATTGACTGACTGACTGACCATTATTGACAACATTATTATCGACGACAATGGATCCCATAGTAGAGGTATGTTATTGTTATAATTATTATTATCATTAACTTAATTAACATTATTATTATTATTATAGTCCAGCAGTGATGACAGTATCGGCGGTGATTTGGCCATAGATTTGTCGGCCAACACAAGTGGTGGTGTCGACACCGATGATATACCGATGCTAAGAGTCAGTACCGACGGCCACACCAGTGCTGATGATAACGATGTCCACAACAGTAACAATAGTGACAAAAACAGTGATAATGTTGACCACAATGAGGACAACAACGATGACCAAAATAGTGACCAAAATAGTGACCAAAATAGTGACCAAATTAGCGACAACGCCGATGCTCACAACACTAACATCGTTGACCACACCATTGGTATCAACACTACGGCGGCTAATCGTGTGGTCACTACGGGTGCCGAAAGTGCGGCCAACGATACGCCAGTAATTGAAAACATTAGGTTTGTTTGATATCATTATTATTATTATTATTACTTAAATTAATTATTATTAATAATACTATTCAATAAATAAATAATAATAATTATCATTATTATTACTATTAAATTATATAATTAATATAAATATAAAAATTATTAATAGTTTAGTAACCTTTTTAAAAATTTATTTTGAGACCAAATAAAACATTTATGTCTCAAAAATACAGTATATTATTATAGATTTGTTTGTTATTAAAAATTAAAATACAATTAAATTAAATTATTATTATTATATTATTTTGAATAAATACTAAAAGTTATTATTATTAATATTAATTAATTTATTATTAATGCTAAATGAATTATTATTATTAAATTAAATCTAAACTAAAAACAAAATTATTAATAATATAGTAATAAAAATGTTTTGAGTCTCAAAAAGTAATTGAGTCCCAAACAAATTGGTAATAATATTATTTTTTTTGTGGTTATTATTATTAATATTAATTAAAATATTTTTATATCAAAATATTATTATTATATATGTATTAAATCATGGTTAGTGTTATCAAACTAAACAATAATAATTATTATTATTAACTATTTAATTAATTGTTTTATACTTATATAAATTATTGATAATATATTATTACTTTGAATCCAACAAAAATAAGTCGAGTCCCAAAAAGTTATAATTAAATTTATAATTATTATTAGTAAAGTTATAGTTAAACATTTTTTTGTGTAAATAACTATTTTGAAAAAAAACATTATTATATATATATCTATAGAAATTTAGTCCCAAATTTTATAATAATTTTTTTTGTAGTTATTATTATTATTGTTAAGATATTTTAAGTTAATATTAAWATAATTATTTTTAAATAAATTTTAACTTYAATTATAAAATAMTAAYAACTGTAGTAATAATTATAAGATAATTGAAACTTTGGTCTCGAAATATGAGTCCCAAACATATAGTGTCGCAAAAATATAAACAATTTTTTTTTGTGATTTTTTTTGTAATCATTCTAATTATATTATTTACTTTTTATAAAAATTAAATTAGTTAATWTAATGTAAACAAAAAGTGTAAAAGTTATATTTAACTTAAAAACTATTTTTTTGAATATTTTCTTTTTTTGGTGTCTTAAATTTAGTATTAATTATTTTTTTTTTAAAAATTATTTTTACTAATTTCAATTGGATTTAGCGGTTCATGGCATTCCCCRACTAAGGTTGAGAAAGAGGACCTGGCTATATCTATGGCCCATTTAGTGGTCCGAAAACTGGGACCCCCTGTCAGGACATCACTCACTCAGAGCCGGTATAATAAAGTGTTACGAGAGGTTGTCTCCAAAATTCATGATATAGTCGAGGACTACGAACCGGATTTGGGACAATTGAATGATTTGGACGAACCATTTGTGCAACCAATGGACGATTTCGAGGATGTCAGCGAACCAATTCCCGAACAATTGGCTACAAAGCGGGTCCGGTCCGATATTGGCGAACGGGTTTGTATATGTTTTACAATTTAATAATTATTAATATTATTTATTAATATTATTTTTTTGAAATTTTTCAGTTTGAATGCACACAGTGTCCCAAATTGAATCAGAGAATTGCGGATCTTGAGGGACGCAATGAAGGACTTCTTGCGGCTTTGAATTCGGCCAAACAGGACATAGAGGAGCGACAGGGACTCATTGATAGACTTAATATCGAAAACCAGGATTATACCGATCAAATGGATGCCATGCAAGAACATTAGTGAGTTAACATTACATCAATTACACAGTATTTTTTTTTTGTTAATCACACATTAAAAATATTTTTTTTATGTTTAAATAGCATTGCAGGAGTCTCAAACATGTCAGCTCAGGTTTTGGGACCCAATTGGTCCGAAACTTTGGTAAAATTCGGAGGGCAACAATGTGTGGCCGAGATTTCAGACAGTGAAACCATAATTGAGTCCGAAATTATTGGTGACAATGAAGTCGGCGATAATCAGGCTGGAGATGATGTCGGTAGTAGTGATGATGATAATGACGGTGACGACAACGCAGCCGAACTAGAAGACGGTATAGAAGAAGTCTTCGACATTGATGGCGATCTAGAGGGACATCTCCCGGTGTGGGTCGAAGGATACGGTAATCCCATAAGTCGTGACCAAATCGGAGGAGAGACCGGAAAACGATTTAAAGTGTGCTCTAAATTATCGATGTATTCGGAAATTTCTCACATCAATAATTATGACGAGAGTGAGAACAAGATACGGATTATCCAAACGTATGGACATCTTGTGACCGCTGGTCAACTACGTGGAGACAGAGCCGCGTTTGCCGCGTATCAAATTGCATCGTTTAGAGGAATGGCCGTCGAAAATGATATCAATGTATACCACTTTGCSTTTTACCAAAACTGGTCGACTGTTTGTCCAGTTTGTGGGATTTCACTGGCAACTAGAGTACCGGCCGATTACAAGATTGTTGTTCGTCACGGTAATAGAGCCGCACATATAGACTCTAATGGTGACAAAGTTAAGGTTCAATTGGTTGTTATATAAAACAATTTTTTGATACATATAATCATTTTTCTACTTTTTGAGATTTTTTTTTTCTTCTTTTTTTTGATAAACTAATTTGAATATTTTCTGATATTTTTTTTTGGATACACTATTTTGTTTACATTTGTGATACATTTTTTTGATTAATATTATTGTCGTGATTCATATACATATATACATATATATATATATAAATTTGAAATTAATAATTAAAAAATTTATTTAACGTCTGAAAATTTATTGTTTAAATTTCGGACTATATATATATAAATATTTATATAWTATTTSWAATTCAATAATWAAAACACATTTAATATAATTGTTTTAATTCACTCAATCAAATATAGATATTTATATAATAAATAAATAAATTGATTCAATGATAAAAACTTTTGAGACTCGAGTCTGAAAATTTAATGTTAGAAATTTCAGACTCTATATATATATATAAATATATATATAAATATATATTTGTTTTTCATAATTTAAATATATTTAATAAAAAAATTTTTATAATTTCATAATTAATAAAATATATATATATTAAGAAAACAAATAAATAAAATAATTAAAAACTTTTTGGGACACTAGTCTGAAATCTAAATGTCCGAAATTTCAGACACTATATAAATGATTTTACTACATTGTATTATATATGTTTGTGTGTATGTGTGTGTGTGTGTGTGAATATGTATGTATATGTGTGTGTATATATTCGTGTGTGTGTGTGTGTGTATGTGTGTGTGTGTATATGTGTGTGTATGTGTGTGTATGTGTGTGTATGTGTGTGTATGTGTGTGTAAGTATGTGTGTGTATGTGTGTGTTATTGTGTGTATATGTGTGTATGTGTGTGAAATGTATATAAATATTTTTTTTATAATAATTTTAGTTAAAATATGAATTATTATTATAAGAAATAATATCAAAAATAACACAGTATTTAATATAGATATAAACAGTACATATAGTACAGTATATTTTTTTGTAAAATATTTAAAATAAATAAAAATTTACATATATATATAAATATTTAATACATATATATTTATGTATATATTATAATTTTATCAATTTTATTAGTAATGTACTGTACATTATATATAGATATATAGCTTTTTATATTTATTAGTTTAAAAATATATGTCAATCGGTTATATATTTATAAAAACTCATTATCTTTTGATTTTTTTTGATTTTGTTTTTTTACGATTATACTATTAAAAATTACATATATATATGTAATACTAATATTTTTATATGGATTTTAAGTATTAATTGTTTATTTATTAATATATTTTTGTATATTTATATATATATAAGCCATTCATCACTACTATTACTACTACTACTACTACTAAAGTAATGGACCGTAAAAACGGCAATTTATTTTTTTTTATTATTACATGAAAACTATTATACTTATAGTAATACTATATATAAATTTAACGTATTTATATCGTTTAATAATCAAGTGATTAAACCATTTTTATGATCACTGTATTATCTATATGTTTGGTATATATATATATTGTATTTAATATTTTTAAATAAAATGATTTTTAAAAAATCAAATAAAATGAAAAATTAATTATATATATATATTTTTAAATATTACTAATATATTTATATATAACTGGTATAATGTTTAAAATACATATGGTTTAATATATATTTATAATTTTATAGTTATAATTATGGTTTAATTTTTGTATTTAATTTATATTATTTTTTCGATTTTTTTTTAAAATTATTTATTTCTATAATTGATTTAAACTTTCATTGCAGACAGGTATTGTTCTGAATTAATTATTTTTAAATTTTAGTAAATCCAATACACTTTTTTTTATTTTAATAAGTACCTTAACAATAATACTTAACATAAAACTAAAAACAAGATTATTAAATTTGTGTAAACCATATAAGGCCTGTAATGATTAGACACTAATAGTAAAAATCATTATTAATTATTTTATATTAATTGATTATTTAACCCATAAAATTTTTCATTTCCATATTTGTTTCAAATAATTTATTTCCTCAAATTTAAGTCTCAATTTTAATTCTCATTTTTAATTCTCAATTTTAATTCTCAATTTTAATTCTCAATATATATATTTTTTAATTAATTTTCAATTTAATTTTCATTAATTCCATTCCTTAAATTATTTCTTTAATTTAAGTCTAAATCTATAAAATAGTATGCATACTTTTTAAAATCCATTCATTAATTTAATTTTCAACATTTCATGCGCAACAATTCAAACAACAAAATTATATGTAAATATTAGGATCCATATTAACTTACATATTAAACACTAATTGAGATCGACCATCTTTCAGGTCACATGGGTTCCAAATTCAAAACAATTGATACATTTATCTACAATTTTACAAATTTACTTAACATTTTATTATTCACTAAATAATTCTATCAATTTATTTATTTTTTATTTATTCATTATTAATTACTGTATAAATCAATCATAAAATTAAATATTACTATTTTTTTATATTTTTATTTTATTTTATAACTATTTTATATGATAAAAGCTAACTTTTAGCTTTATATCGAACAGGACTCTTTAAAAGTCGTCCATATCGACTATATTTATGTGTATTTTTATTAATTAGTCTACAAATAGGTTTTTTAAATTGTACATGTTTTCGCACCCGAACTTTAGGATTTGAGTCATTATTTTCAGACACTAAATTATTTTCAGACACTAAATTATTTTCAGGCACTAAATTATTTTCTGACATATTGTCGCTAATAGGACATATATTTTCATTAACTATAACATCATCACTATAATCATTATATCGGTTTAACCGACTAACATGTACTATTTCAGACCTATTTGATTCGTTGTTTTCGACTCTTACATTGACAGGTGATATAACTTCGGTTACCGTAAACGGTCCGAACATACGGTGAAGTAATTTTGTGCTTAAATTTCGTTTTCTTATAGGAGTAAAAACCATTACTTTATCTCCAATATTAAAATTCATATCTCTTTTTTTGATATCATAAAAATACTTATTTTTAAGCTGAACATCTTTTATACGTGAATGTGCTAGTAATCTACATTCTTCTAATTGTCGCTCATATTGTTCGGGAATTGTGTAAATTATTGGTGTTTTCAATAATATATCTATAGGTAGTCTAGCTTCGCGTCCGAACAATAATCGATAGGCACTAAACTTAGTTGTGTCTTGTGGTGTTGTATTATGTGCAAAAGTTACATATGGTAACCAATCTGACCAGTTTCTCTGATCGTAGTCGCAAAATTGCGACAACATATTAGCTAATGTTTTGTTAAAGTTTTCGACTAAAGCATTGGTTTGTGGATGGTAAGCTGATGTACGAGAATGTTTTGTATTTAAAGTGTCAAATAATTTTTGGGTTAATGTAGAAGTAAAACATTTTCCTTGATCTGTTAAAATGATATCAGGTGCTCCGAAAATTAATACTACATTGTTTAGCAAAAAATTAGAGACCGTGTTAGCTGTGGCATCTTTTAAAGCACCAGTTATAACATAACGGGTACAATGATCGGTACATACAATAATATTTCTATTATCGTCATGTGTTTTGGGAAAAGGTCCCAAAAGATCGCATCCGATAACCGAAAATGGGACTGTTGGGACTTCCATCGTTTGTCCCAAACCTATCGGTTTGCTTGTCGGCCTTTTCTTACTTTGACAGTCAATACATTGATTAATGTGTTGTGTTATTGATCTAAACATTTTTTTCCAATAATACTTTTGCCTCATTTTCTCATAGCATCTTATAATACCTAAGTGTCCGCTAATCGGATCGTTGTGCATTGTAAATAAGATGTCATCCCTTAACTCTTTTGGGACTAATAATTGATACATAGGTCCGAAACCGTCATCAATTTTTCGATACAATACACCATCAATGTATTCAAATGTTTTGCCGCCTGAGATTAGTTTACCATTACTTTCGTTTATTTTGCTTTTTATGCTTTTACACCACAAGTCATTACTTTGCATTTCAATTAAATTAATTTGATCAGTATTTAATAATAGTTTATCTAAATTTGGGCCTATTTCCCTAATATCGGAATTATTTTCTATTGGGGCTCTGGACAGAGCGTCTGCGTCTAGATGCTTAGCTCCCGATTTATACACCACTTTAAAATCATATTCGGATAATTCTAATATCCAGCGAGCAATACGACGTGTAGGCTCTCTGGCTTTGAACATCCAACAGAGTGAATGGTGGTCAGTTACTATTTCAAAATATTTACCCAATAGATAATGTCTATTTTGTTTTACTGCATAAAACACAGCAAGTGCTTCCAATTGAGTAGTCGGATAGTTTAATTCATACTCAGTTAGTGTACGACTACCATATTTTATTGGATGATCTATACCTTCAATCACATGCACTAAGACGTACCCAATACCGCTAAGGCTAGCATCGGTATGTAATTTGACGTCTATGTTTGGGTCATAATGCACGAGAATAGGTGCTGTTATTAATGCTTGTTTTAAGTCTGTGACAGATTTTTGCTCAATATCTGTCCATTTCCATATAGCATTTTTACGTAATAATAGCAATAGAAGTGAGGCTAATTTGCTAAAGTTTTCCATACAGTCTCTATAGTAACTACACATTCCTAGAAACCGCTTTATCTCTTTAGGAGACTCTGGAGTTTTGAATTTTTCGATTGCTATTATTTTGTCTGAATCTGGTTTGATACCTGTGTCCGAAACTATCCATCCTAAAAATTTTATTTTATTTTCAGCGAAATAACATTTTGAGACTTGTAGTCTCAAATTTGCAGATTTTATACGCTCAAACACTTGGGACACTCTATCTAAGTGTGTCTGAAAATCAGGCGCATATATTATTATATCATCTAAATATGCGACACAGATATTATATCTTAGACCAGCTATTAGATTATTAACCATTCTCTGGAATGTTGCCGGTGCATTGGTAAGACCGAATGGCATGACATTCCATTCA